ATGACAAAGCGGATATCATCCTCTTTTGGAAGACCAAACAAAGTAGTTTCACTTTCACAACGAAACAGACAGCGTCTCCACAACATGGCGGCGGCGGTAAAAATATTACAGAGAGAATCAAAGTTACGCCTTCTTTCTTTGCATATACATTTGGGTGGTGTTATGCAAATCTTCCCACACAGTGACGTAGACATGTGGGGGCGTGTTTGAACTAGGCATTTTAGGAGGGCGTGGACGAGTCTTAACTTTTATAAAGAATACCTCTTTGGGTTTGAGACTTTAGTCTTTGCAACTTTAGGGATCTTATCTATTCACGAACAGCTTGTAACACTCAAAAGAGAAAGGAAAACTTGAAATCGCATCATATGACCCTTTTAATGTATTTGCTTAATAAAACGTAATGAAAATTTGTGTATCTTATTGTAACTGGCGTCACTCCTCCTTTTATCCTTCCGGAGCTCCTCCGTGGGACTCGAGACCGGTGAGTGGCGCAGATACCCCCATCGCCCCTCGCAGGCCGGGGGGTACTCACGAGACTGCACTCTACTCCCCCCTCTGGGGGAGCCGACTCCTCCGCTCCCTCACGGACGGCAGCCGTCCCTCCACAGCCCAGGCGGCCGGCAGCGAGTTCGTCCGCCCCCCCGCCAACTCACTCCAGGCCACCGCCTCAAGCCTCCATGGCGGCAGACTGCTCCGCCATGCTCGATGGCACCGCGGACTCACCACAGCGGCGAGGGATCTCTGGCAGCGTGTCCCTCCTTCCTCCCGGGTTTCAGCACCAATGTAAGAAGGAGGCGGCAACCGGCGAACATTTAAAGAAGATTTTAATAAAATAAACAAACACAAAAAATGTAAGTAAAGCGGCAGCCCCTCACGGACGACATCCGCACACAAAACACAAAATAAAGTCCAGGCCTGGTCCTCTCTCCTCCAACACTCTCCTCCTTTTATCCTTCCGGAGCTCCTCCGTGGGACTCGAGACCGGTGAGTGGCTCAGGTGACGTGCATTAGCATTTACTCCACCGGCCTCGCTCCGTTCCCACGGCTCTCGGCCCCGCCCCTCTTGTCACACTTATATTTTTATGTAATACCCACTTTACAAAAGACAGTCAAGGCTGTGCTATGTTGGGAATCTTATAGCTAAAGGGGTTGCAGGCACGTTGCTGCATGTTGTACCGAACAGCACCCTATAGCTATGATTATATTCACAATATAGCACACCTTTTTGTGCCTTATTACTTTAAGTATTGATTTTCCTGCTAAAATGAAACCAACAGTCTCTCTTTCTCTCTCTTGCAGTGTGCAAGGATCCACCATATAAAGTCGAAGAGTCTGGATACGCTGGATTTATCTTGCCTATTGAAGTTTACTTTAAAAATAAGGTACTTTGGTTTTTCCTGTTATTTGTGGAAACATGTAATTGTGAATTATGATTTCTATAAACAAGTGTATTTGATCTGTTACCTAAGATTAAACCAATCCAAACAGCTGTGTACACTGGGTAAATGTAACATTCTTGTCACTTTTAACCAGGAGGAACCAAAAAAAGTGCGCTTTGACTACGATTTGTTCCTGCACTTGGAGGGTCACCCACCTGTCAATCATCTCCGCTGTGAAAAGCTCACGTTCAACAACCCTACTGAAGAGTTCTGCAGGAAGCTGCTCAAGGCGGGAGGGGTACGAACGGACTGGGGATGGCCGTGGCTTCCCCTAATGGAATTACTGTTCCCATCAACCAAGACAATAAGTAACTTTACAGGATTTGATTGGGCTAGTCTTAACTCGACCATCTATCACTAGAGGAAGCCTGAATTGTTTTTGGGCCCATGCCAAAGAGATCCACACGCTTTTTATGAATCAACTGGTTTGTTCGTTTCGTTGATCTTGGATGCATTTTGAAGTTCCACCAGCAGTCATGAACTGGGATGCTTTCACCCTAAGAAATTATTATTCTTGTGAGGGCCTTCTCTGTAGTTTTAACTGCCCTCTCTTGCCTCATTCCAGTAATTCGAATGTTTTACGGCTGGGGCTATGACACCATCTCCTTTGGTGCTTGTCTGACTTACAGATGAGGCATGGCAGGAATCGAAACAGTTTATTGGCAAATGGGCAGTTGTACGGGAAGTTGTTTTAATTAAGAGAGAACCGTTCGCTAGAGCAATATCAATTTAGCGAGGTGGTGACTGAGGAAGGTCCTTTCCAATTTACTTGATTGTTTTGGCTTTTGAAAGGCATTTTGTCATTACATCAGGCCAGGAGTAAGCGGAGTGTTTTTTATTTTTGCCAAAATGTGTTCGAGTGTGTGTGCATGAGAGAGAGAGAGAGTTTGTGTGTCTGTGGTGGTTTTTGTTGATTCATGGTCTAACTTTTTTACACTCTAATATCTGTACTTTGTCGTTTACAGCAACAGGATCCTCACAAAAGATCTTCAGAGGACTGTAAAGTAAGGACAAACTCCATTTTCAATGTTTCAGTGCATTTAACAGAACTTCAACAGTGTTTTCTTTGATTATTTAAAAGTTTACCCTATTTTCATACCATATTGTGAACAATTCACTTGCACATGTTACTTTAACCAAAAATACTATTGTCGTAATCTTCAAAATACAATAACTCGCTTTGCATCTGAAACAACTTTCCTTTTCCTTGCTTTGTGTGAAAAACAGATTCTAGCATACGATAACATTTGAAAGCTTGGGGTTTGTACAGATTTAAATGTTTTTTTTTTTTTTTTTTTTAAATAAGTCTCTTATAATGATTTTTTTTTATCAAAAACACAGTAAAAAAAAAAAAGTGTAATATTGTGAAATATTTTTACAATTTAAAATAACTCTTTTCCTTTTTAGTATATTTTAAAATGTAATTTATTCCTGTGATGGCAAAGTTCAATTTTCAAGTTGAAAAAAACGGCCTTTATTTAAAATTATTTTACTGTCACTTTTGATCAGTTTAATGTGTCTTTGCTAAATAAAATTAATTTCTTTCAATAAAATCTTATTCTTGAGCCGAAAAATTTGGACGGTAGTATATATTATGTCCGATCAAGAAATTGAAAGTTATGAATTAAACAGAGATGAAGATTTGCAGTAAATAGCATCTTGGAATGCAGTTACAATATGCATTTCATTGATCACCCAAGTTTTCATTGTCTTTCATTTCTTAGGTAATGGTAATGCAGGAGGGCGCTACTTCTCTGTTCGGGCAGCATCTAAAGATGCCCACATTACCCAGCAGCTCATTAACATTGACTTTCTCTGATGTGAAAAAGAGCAAGTCTTTCCCAGGGTCAAAGGTGAGTGTGGATCTCCGTGTTTGAGAGTATGAACTTTGAGAAAACTTTGCATGACTTTGTTCGGCATTTAAAAATTTCCCAGTTCCTCCAAGGAGTCCTGCTTAATCCTGCATATTTGGCAAGTTGAAAGACGTTAGGGACTATTTAACTCCAAGGATTTTAGAGATGTGAAACTTGGCTTAAGTCGAGCATTTCTTGGCTGCTGAGAAAGCACATGCTAACATTCCGATGACGTAAACGAACTCGCCAGGTGTTACAACGGCGCTCTGCATGTGCGAAAAGATTCGTATCTAGTCATACAATACCGCGTTTGCAGTTTTCCAAAGCACTCTTGTTAATCAGCCTGTAATGGCGTTTCAAATAAAGAAAACAATAATTTTTAAAAGAAACAAATAAATTAGTGCAATTTATATTGGTTTTGTGCGGGAAAACCTGAGACGCTGCAGCTTTTCATTCGTGCATCTATTAAACCACATTAGCCATAATGCTAGTAAATCTTGCTTGACTCCACAATGCCACGTTTCTTTGATTTAAATTTATTTCAAGTATCCTGTGCAATATTACTTAGCTGCTAAGCAGCTTGTTTTGTACGCTAGCTCTTACAGTGAAGTTACGAGAGTCCCCGGTGCACATGGAAACAGTTCCCAATCCAAACAGGCCCTTGCATGTGATGGATTACTGACAGATCAAGGGTCGATGGCAGCCAGCCTCCCCTGCACTACTACACCGGTCACTTTAGCAAAAACAAAAACGACAGTCTGTGCTTTGTTGTCCTTCTCCCCTTCCTCCACTTAATTTAATGTTATGGTTGAAAATTTTGAAGGTTGATTGATTGCCAACCATAATGGTTCCTGGAAAAGTCTGTTGTGACATTAAAAATGCAAAACTGGAGTGTTCTTAGAGAAATATTCTCTGCGTTTTGGGGTTAATAAAATGCACTAGTTGCAATAAGCTCTAATAGCACTGAACATTATGATGATGGTAATTCAGTTTTTAAATATAGAGAAGAGATGTTTCCGCCCCTTTGTGTGCTGCCAAAATGTATTGTACCATGTTGATTATAACTGATTGTAAATGTAACAAGACTATCCATAAACTTAATCAAGTCTAAATTCATTTGACATTAACATCACTGTCTTCTAGACCATTTAAAAGTTCTTTTTATGTAGTTTTAAAGCCAATTAAAACAGTTTCACCTTTGCTCTCAGTGTGTTTAAACAGTTTCAAACAGGGAAAAAAAGGTTTTGTCCATTTCTGTATCACATATAACAATAAAAGATGGGTTTAAAGGTAGTCTGGGCAGGTTGTAACTGTCTAGACTTCTTAACGACTTAACTGCATCAATTACTTATTGACAGGGGCTAGTTAGCTTGACCTGAAGATAGGATAAGCCTGCCATTAAAGTCAACAAAAGTTGTGCTTCATCCCCAGCTTGCCTCCCAGATAGCTCTGAGGTTGCCCTTCCCCCAGTGGAATTATTTTCAGGATCATTCTGAAAAATTGTTTATGGAAATGTTTCACATCTGGGTTTGGTTGTTTGCCTGAGCACACACATCATTTGTCGATTATAATGGAAGGAAAGTTGAATATTTGAATATTTATAGCAGTTTATATATTGTTCTTCATTATATTAACAAAATGTATAGCAATGGGGTTTTGACCATGTAAATACTATGGTATATGACTATGGCATTAATGCTGTGGTGTACACTACCATTCAAAGGTTTGGGGTCGGTAAGACTTTTTAATGTTCGTTTAAAATCTTTTAATGTCTAATCAAGGCTGCATTTATTGATTAAAAAATACAGTTAAAACTGTAAAATGGTGAAATATTATTACAATTTAAAATAACTCTTTTATATTTTAATGTATTGTAGAATGTAATTTATTCTGAATTAAGCTGAATTAAGCTGGATTTTCAGCATCATTACTCCAGTCTTCAGCGTCACATGATCCTTCAGAAATCATTCTAATATTCTGATTTGGAGCTCAACAAACATTTCTTAAAACAGTTAAAAATGGTTGTGCTGCTTAATGTTTTTGTGGAAACATTTGTTGAATAGAAAGTTCAAAAGAATAGAAATTATTTGAAATAGAAATCTTTTGTAAAAGTATACATTTTTGGTTAAATTAATGTCCTTGCTGAATGGAAGTCAATTTCTTAAAAAAATAATAAATAAATACTGGTCCAAACTTTTTTAAGGGTAATGTACTATCATAAGTACTATCATATCATCACTATAAAATGGTGCTGTCAAAGTATTTTTTTGTTAAGGTTTATAAATGAATGAAATCAGCATAAAATTCAAATTAAGTGGCTATATCTTTCCTAATATTGTCATATTTTCATTATAGGACAGGTCCAAAAGCAGCAGTGCTCTTACAACCACAAACAATATCAGCAGCAGCTCCCTCAAACTCCACAAACCGTCTAAGGACCATAAGGACAAGCCTTCCAAAGACTCAAAAGAGTCCAAAAGTGCCTTCAGAGATTTCAGCAAGGACTCTGGAAAACTCTCTAAAGATTCTAAAAAACCCAAAGAGAATCAACCAATTCAGGAAGATCGCCCCATTCCCCAAATGGGATTCAAGGAGCCCAAGACCACATCGAAGGAGCAATGTTCATCGGAGGGTGACTTCTCAAGCTTGGGACAGAGTAAACGGCGACCTGTGTTGGACAGTGAAGGCCATGTTACCAAAAAACGGAAAAGCAGTTTTTCAGAGAGATCGCAGAAGCAGCAAGTGTGTCCTACCTTGCTACAACATCACCATTCGGATAAAAAGGTTTTGAAAGACAAGCCGCAAGTCCGGCATAGTAGGTTACAAAACCGTGAACATTCAGAGAAAAGAAAACCTTCAGCATTACCGCCCTTCCAGGATGTGTTGGACCCGAATGACTCGGACATGGATGACAACACGTTCACAAGATCAGACGTAAGTGAATTTCGAATCATTATGCTGGAACATAACAACATGAAAATTAGTCCCTGTTTTTTCTCAATTGGTTAGTTGTCCCTCAAATGTGTATTGTAACATCTGTTAGCTTTATCATAACCTTTATGTGTTTTGCTAATAGCAAAATAACCAAATTGAAGTCTTTGTAATGATTGTTTAAGGCACTGGTTATAATTCGATTTAATGATTTTAATCCAAATCGGTTGATCTCGTTTGGGTGTGTAAATAAAAAATATGTTGTGGGATTTAATGAATGGGAAAGAATGGGAATAATTTCCTATGGGAAAGTACAATGAATTTCAGTAGTCTTTGGTGTGAGCTTTTGTTGTTCGAATGATGTGGTTGACTATTAGCGGAGACCTTTTCTAGGACATGGGTTTCTCTGTAAATATCAAACAGAGAGGTTGAGACAGGCTCTTAGAGGGCTGTGATAATGGCGGTCTGGTGCGAGAGGGGATCTAATAAACTTGGTGGGTGTCCAGAAGCTGAGGGGGCCATTTGTCTGTGTTGGGCGCAGGAAATCAGTACCGCCCATTGCTAGACCTCTCGGCTCTTCAGGACAGGAAGTCTGGTAGCTGGTCAAAGGCTCCTTATTTAGTTTGTTATGGTTTTGTTCAAAACAAAAGTTGACTGATGTTGTTCCAGTTTCATTTCATCGTATTGTGGATTGTGTGTTTTGGATTGAAACGCTGTCAGACATGAGGAGGGCCAGTTACAAGGCAGCGTGCAAAATTGTGCTGCTCACCTGCCAATTGCCTAGTCAGTGAATTTAGTTTTGATATCATTTTGAAGATAGTAATAGTAGTAGTTATAGTAGTTCGTATAGATCTAGAATGTTTTTAGCTTCAGCAGTGTCACCAGTGGCAAGGTTCATTTACCTTCAGCAAGAGAGCAGCTCATAAAACGGTGGCTGTTTTATTGGCTCGAAGGCAAGTGCTGAGATGAAATTTATGGTTTTATGACACTCAAGGAGAATGGGAAAGGACACCATGAATAGCTAAGAGTTTTCCTTTAAACTCACTCCTTTAAAAAAAGGGAAGAAAAGAAACTTCAGTGTTTATGACAGCTGATGTATTCCAGGTGCTGCTTTCTTTGGGTCACCAGGTCTGTAAGGCCCTGATGGGCCTGCTCTGATCAACATTACCACTAACATTCACACAGTCTATTTACAGATAAAGGAAAGCCTTTGCTTTTTTTCTAGACACTTTTCTAGACCAGAACTGTAGCAAGCATTAGTGAATAATGATCAAGTTTTATTTTAAAAAACAGAATGGACAATGAATGCTAAATGGGCAGTTTGATGGATAATTAACATCGTTGCTGTCAGCAGCATCTCTTGTTGATTCTGTAAACTGCTACTTAGTAAGTGTCCTGTTGAGCGTCTTATCCTAAAAATAACAGATTTCTCAGAATTTACCATGGGTCTTACTATGGTTGAATAGTAAACCGTAGTAAATATAAGGTAGTTTTTCATAAATGTTCGAGGAAGTGAGGGAATTTTCTTCACTTATATTATACATATGCCATTTAGTTGTAATAGTAGTTATGGTTATGGTCTTGCTTGGGGTTTTTCTAGCCTTTTAGACCATAACTAGCAAGCGTAAGTGGATAGACTGATTAAATGCACAGGTAGATGAATAATATACTTAATGTTCTGCTGTTAGTTTTCTGGTGTGTGTGTTTAAAACATAAAAATAAAAGCTAATTAAAAAAATGAATACTGTAATAGTATATAAATAATGCTAAAATAACACTGTACTTAACAAATTTAAGTAATGGAAGTTAAGTGCTGCAGTCACTTGCCAAATTCCAAACGCATGTTGTCATATATATTACACAGAGTAAAAGGCTAGTGGGGGGTAGATGTAACCCAATCCTAAAATCTGTTTATATGACGTCTTCTGTAAGTGAAGAGCTTCATGTGCTTGATTGGAATGAGACAATAGTCCTAAAGCAGAGCAATTGCCAGTTTCAGAGCCACTGCTAGATTTATGGCACCACAGCAGAGGCGATGGTCGTAAAGCCACAGACCAGCTGTGGGGTGCTGCTAGTGACCACCTGCTTTGTCTCTACTGAACTCGTAAAGCTCATCTTTAATTTTGTGTTTATTGCAGCATTTTACCGAAATACAGACTTTTGAAGAGTCATTATGAGCATATTGACATTTAAGTCCATAATCGGTTAAAAAAAAAGAGTTTGAGTGATTCTTTTGACAATCATAATTCATACAAATGTTTGATGACAACTATATATCATGTGCTGACCAGTGCTGGGTAGTAACTGATTACATGTAATCTGGATTATGTAATCAGATTCCAAAAACTAAGTACTTGTAATTAGATTATATTCCATTTTAAAATACTTTTTATCAGACTATACAGATACTTATTTATTGATTACATATTTTTCACACACTAGCCATTCATTATTTGTCATTTATTAATTTTCCCTGATTCTTCTTTTTCATCTTTTAATTTTTTTTTCTAAAATAGAAAAGTCAAAGTCTTTTTATGTCAATATGATACAAGATTATCCTATTTAAGTCATGTGATAAACATGTCGGGTCGAAAGTAATCTAAAAGTAATCAAAAAGTAGTCCGATGTAATGGATTACGTTACTAACTACAATGTTTGTCATGTAATTTGGAATCAGAACAGACTACAATTTGCAAGTAACAAGTAATCTACCCAGCACTGGTGCTGACACACATCTGTAAACGCCACACCATTGAAGCACCACATTTAGTCTTGTAACAGCATTTAACAGACATTTCCTTGTTTAATATTTCATATGTGTGTGTGTTCGGAGCTCTACTGGTTTAGCCCATCGTTTTAGTTTGGTGGTCTGCATGTCACCGCAGATTGCAAACAGTGTCCATGTTAATGGAAGTTGCTTTTTCATTAGCTCTAAAAAAAAAAAAAGTAATGTAGCATTTTACTGCATAGCCACAGCTCTGCCATTACTCAAGTTTGAGTGACAGCAAGGCGCTCTCTTCCTCTCTTCATGTTCTCAGGCGTCTGAACCCAAACACTCCAGATGATCTTCATGCTTAAAGACCTGCGAACCTTTCCTCATGAGTGATGACATCAGTTTTATTGTCTAAGGGGTGCAGGGCTTCTTAGATGAGCTTTTACAAGCGTCTAGTTTGGGAAGAGGGGTGCGGCCCATAGTAGAAAGGCGGCTTGATTTACAGTGCAGAACCCTGACCATGCGTTTGATGTCAGCCAGGCTCCCAGATGGACAAACAGGCAGTAAAATGCAGACTGAAGAAAAAAGAAAGAAGGGAAAAAAACAATGAGAATGAAGGGAAAGGAACTTCAAAGTAACAACTTTGCTCTTCCACAGGCTCGGTGAGGGGTTGAAGTTAAGTGTCTTTACCACCCTGCTTGCAGGAGTTTTGGCAGCCCCTATTGTCAACTCGCTTCACGGGAGGTTTTTAGCACCTGCCCCTTGCCAGCAACTCTCACTAGCACCACTGTCACCCCCAGTCGAGTGAGTGAGCCGTAACAGTTTTATAGCGCACTGTTATATTCTGCCATCGATTCGTTGCAGTATTTTTCTAGGTTTAAGGCACCGTGAGGATGCCTGCAGTGAATAGTTTTAGGCGGGTGCTGTATGAGGAGATGGGTTGAACACGTTGTTTGGAAAGGAGAGTTCGGAAATTACTGTGGTTTTGCACAGTAACCGTAATTTTGAAGTAAGGGCATAGCAAGTCGATAAGACAAAAACAACCAAGAAATTCTAACTAGATTTCTACATTTACCAAAGGTGAGTGAGTGTTGTTTGTTCAAACATAACTCACCGCCCCGATGCTAATATGTTGTAGATGGTTGTTGGTTATTTATTTGTTTATTTGTAGTTGCTAATTCTCGCTGATATCCAAATTCCTAAATATGGCTCTCATTCATAGCTAGTTTGTGGGATTTTTTCCCCCTCGCCCATTTCACCGTATACAACATACATTTTTATTCCAAGTGCTTAGAAAAGTAATAGGAAGCCCCAAAATATGAGGTTATCAATAAAGAAGTCTCTTATGCTCACCAAAGATGCATTTATTTGATCAAAAACACAGTAAAGCAGTAATATTGTAAAATGTTACATATTGTAAAAGTGTCACATGATACTTCAGAAATCATTCTAATATGCTCATTTGCTGCCCAATAAATATTTCCTGTTATTATCCATGTTGAAATTAGTTGTGTTTCCCAATAAAAATGTTCCTTTTTGTGGAAACTGTGATCCTTTTTTCCAGGATTCTTTGATTAATTAAAAAGTTCAATAGAACAGCATTTATAGTCTTCACAGTCACTTTTGATTAATATAATGCATCCTTGCTGAATAAAAGTATTTATTTCTTTTAAAAAAATCTTACAGACCCCAAGCTTTTGAAGTATAATGTACGTCCATAAAAAAAGCATCAAAGTTTAATGCTTGAGTTTGAGGTTTGTGTAAGCCACTAACCCCAAGTATGAGTAATAGTAATGCAAGCATTACTAAATACATCTGTCATTAAAAAAAACTGACCTCATCCTCACTAAGTAGTACCATTGTCAGTGTACCATGGTTTCACTGTAGTATAGTGAAGATTGCAAGAAAGAGGACAGAGTGATCTAATTTGCATCCTCCTGGCCTGTTTAGACTGAATAGACAACGTTAGCCAATGTTTCCCAAGAGTATTCTGAAACCTTTCTTAACCATCAATCACTGTACTAGCCCTGTTATAAATCCCACACTCAATTTCTCCATTCGCTGAGGAGCTGAATGGCTTCTGCTTGACCATTTTGTTCAAGAGACCCGATTCAGTTTCACCAAGTGCTCATCAGAGAAGAATGTAAACAAATTAATTCAGATTAACTTTAATAGCTTCTTTAGATTTCCTCTCGGGCCGCTCTCCAAGAGGAATTAGGTTAATAGTTTTGCATTGAACTTCCTTGCTGGTTTTTTCCTGAGTGCTCAAAATGTTCCTCCACCCCATGCAATTTCAGCAAGCTTGTAAAATGTGTATTCAACTAGAGTACAATTTTAAACTTAACATGAGTACAGCGAAGAAAAACAGAGTGGACTTTAAAGTAACTTTAAACCTCAAAACTTGAGCCAAGTGGAAAGTCAGGAAAGCAATTGTAACAGAGCGCCTTTCTTACTCTTTTATCCTCGGCCCCATTTGCAACAATAAGCCTGATTTGTATTATACATCCATTTGGTCGGGAAGTCTTTGTGGATTGCAGTTAATCAGTCCAATTCGCTCCACTTACAGCTCACATCTTTGTTATACTGAATGTAATTTTAAAAGAACATAATTTCATTCATTTTGCTTTGTTAGAGCAGGCTGTTTTCACAAGAGCCCCTCTTTGAAAGTGTTTTTTTAGCAAGGACCACGCTAACCTTCTCTTTTGTTGATGCTCAGAGGCGGACAAAGTACTCAACTCCATTACTTGAGTGAAAGTACAGATACTGCTGGTCAAATATTACTCCATTACTATTATTAGTAAAACTTGTAAAGACAGATTTTTACTTAAGTAAAAGTACAGAAGTACTTGCTTTTAAAAGTACTTAAGTAGCAAAAGTAAATTTCCTTTTTTATGTCAATGCACATGTTTTATTGTTGTACGTAATACTTGCAATACTTCTGAAGCAACTTAGAATACATTACACCTACTGAATACACTGACTAGCTTGTAGTATCTTTGGAATAAAGAGCTTTTAGAATGTTAAAAACCTATGGGGAAAAAAAGTAAACAAAAATAAATAAATATTTAACACCCCCACAAAAGCAGGATGTAGTGATCTCACACAGCTCTGACAGTGCGTGCACAGATCGATGTAAGTTAACCACTTTATTACGTCAAAATAAGACTTGAAATGATGTTGAAATGATGATGAAAAAATGCCCTTTTTCAGTTTCAGCACATGCCCCTCAAAAGGTCTGTGCACGGCCCTGAGGATAACTGTTCATACAGAAAAGAGCACAAGATGTGATTGGGTACATTTTAATGATATTTTCAGTAAACATGGTGCATGTGTCTCTAAAAGCAAATAGAGGCCCTTTAAAAACACGTCTGCTACCTCCATGAATCCAATCAATCACAGTCCCATTGTTCTGAGAGGCTTGGCTCTGTAGTGAGATATAGCCCTACGAGTTCAAAGGTGCCTCATAAATTGTGGGATCCTCAACAATTAATCTACAGATGCAACGGTTCAAAGAGGCCTCCACTAAATCTAGTTTCACCTCAGCCTGATGGACTTACTAACTGAATAAGTGCCTCATTCCCTTCACTTTTGTTTTTCGTTTACGGCAAAGACCAGTATTCATATTTTCCAGCAGTATGGAGAGCTAAAATCTGTTTTGGTGTTATTTTTGAGTACAGTCTGACCATTTTAGCAACATTATTTGGATTAATAGTGTCTTTTGCATATTTAACTTTTTATATAGCTTTTTTTTTGCACTCAAAGTGAAGAGTCCTGTGCGAGTAGGAAGGTTTAGTGTGAGCATAGCCCCAAAGGGATCTGTGTGACTATAAATCAGCCTTCATTAGGTCGGGTGAACGAGGAACCCACTGATTTACAGTGAGGAAGTGACACTAATATCCATCAAAGCCTCTAGTGTGGAACAGAAGATCGTGGAAATGGCCTCACAAGTAACTGCATTTGGTTTCTATTTCAGAGTCTGTTTTTAAAGTGTTATTAGGTGCCATGCAATATTTATTTCATTTATTTACCTAATTTATTATTATTATTATTACAACTGTTCTTCTTTTTGAGCCAGAAAAATGTCACTGATTTTATTATTAATTATAATTGGTTATATATTAAAAAATATTGCTCCCTGTGGTAGCTTCACCGTGGATTTGTAATTATAAGACTGCAAAACCAGTTTTGTGTCATTAGAAAAAGCAATAGTGTGCAAAGCTTAGTAAATGTCTTTTTGATGTTAATGTCATGTGATACAGAGCCGGTATATTGGGAGATATCAAAAAGCAGAAAGTGCTCATTTCCCACATCAATTCATGCTCAGACTTCTTGAGCACGCAAAACCAAAATGCTTTGATATTGGTATTATTATTTTTATCGAGTTGGTACTTTGCCTTCTTTCCTAGTCGGATCAGCCCAGTCCAGCCAGCTCCAGTTCGAGCTCCGGCTTTGGACGCACACACAAACGGCAAGGTAACCTTTCCAATATTTGCCACATCCTGTTGCTTTTGGCTGGCTTGGAGAAAGCCTGGCCTTATTATGGGTCAGTGTGTCAATTCCCTTTTCTTACCCAAAGAGTACACTTTACTACCATTATATTAGTTTTTTTTTATAATATTAGAGAAATCTGACTGGATGTGAGCGTGCAATGCATCTTATGACTTCAATGTTGAAATATTGCACTAAAGAAATAAATGCTTTTGTAGACATTTGCCTTTCTTATTCACCTGTAGTATTGGGTCCTTTACGGTCGGTGATCGCAGATTTGCACTCAGATGAAATCGAAGAGGATTCGGAAGAGGAGGACGATAATGACATGGACTCGGACATGGAGCGACCGTTGCACACGCAGATGACACATCGCCACCGCAGGTAAATATCCATGAAAAAACTACCAACTAACTAACCCTGGCTGCAGAGGGAAGAAAAAAATTATATATCCTTGCCTGCATACCATGCTGTGTAGCTGGATACATGCTGTGTAGCTGGATACTATAGGGGATAATGAATGGTGAATATCTGTCATGTATTTTGCAGGGTGAGTTTAAGTGACGGCAGTGATAGTGAAAATAGTTCTGCCTCTTCACCACTGCCCCATAATGACCCCCAACCTCTACTGAAAACTGCCAATAACCAGGTGAGCTAGAACAACCTTCTCTGTCATTCCATTCCTCTAGCTGTGATTTCACTCTTCCATATCAACTCTTGTGCTTTATATGTGGAGGTAAAAGACATTGAACCGTCAATAGACTACAGAGGTGCTTGAGTGAGTGTGTGTGTGCTGTATGTTGTTAGGGTTTTTGTTTCAGCAAAGAATGTTCAAACATTTATACAAAGCACCCACATTTGTTTACTACAAAAGGCACCAATTCAAACCTTTGCAAGAATATCACAGCCCTAATAAGATGATGTCAGATACATGGTGTGCCTTTGTTACAATCTACCCCACTGCCGGTGTAGGTTGTAACAGTTAGACTAAAGAAGCAATAACAGCAGCCACACCATGAAGTATGCTTTAAAAAACAGGTTTATTGAAACAATCTAAAAGAAAAATACAAAACAACATCTCACTTTCTGTGACTGGCCAAAGCTCAAATTCACTTTCTGTTTGATGCAGGACCAATGGCTAATTTTAATAAAACAATCAGTCAGAGTAATTAAATTTCACCATATAAAAATGAGGTTGTTACCATTTTTACAGATGTTTCTGTTTTTGATAACGAACATAAATTTACATCTGTATCCTAACTCAAGCTGTGAACTCAAGCTACTGTCAAATGTGCATTTCTAAGAGACAAAAAATTGTAATATTAATATTGCAGCCTGCACTACAAACTGTGCTGAAGATATGCATCATCAAAGTCAGGCTACACAAACCCGTTTCATGATTTGAAACAATATCACTCATTAGAACATGCAGAAACTCAGAAATTAATTTTTCTATTAAGATATTTATTTTGCTAAGGGAAAATGGCTTGAAAATTGTAAAGAATTAAAAAATGTGTTTGTCATGTTCTGACCATAAAGAGTCGTTTAAAGGGGTCATATGACGTTGCTAAAAAGAACATTATTTTGTGTATTTGGTGTAATGCAATGTGTTTGTGGTTTAAGGTTCAAAAAACACATTATTTTCCATGTACTGTACATTATTGTTGCTCCTCTATGCCCCGCCTTTCTGAAATGCGTAGATTTTTACAAAGCTTATTGTTCTGAAAAGCGAGGTGTACGCTGATTGGCCAGCTATCCAGTGTGTTGTGATTGGCCGAATGCCTCAAGCGTGTGACGGAAATGTTACGCCCCTTACCATACTGTGATGCCGTGTCCCGGCACGACGACACAAAACTAGTGGTCGACGATATATCGCCAAGGCCAATATATCGGTCATTTTTCAAATATCGGCATCGGCAGATAAGTTTTTCTGTTTGGCCGATGAGTTCGAGGCGGGACTTTTATTTTGACGCCGCTGATAGTGGCAGCGCCTGAGCACACTGTGCTCACATTCTCCCTCTTGTTCGCCGTCGTCGTTAGTCTCGCGTAGCGAGAATCCATGGGAGCTTTCATTGGCCAAGGCCCGCCCATGAGGCCGTTTGACTGACATGTCAAACAACCAATCACAGTTCATTTCGTTTCAGCGTCACGTTTCGGGGCATGAAAATGTCGCCACAATAACAGACCGTTGTGTAAAAAAAAATGTCACATACTTTTGAGAATCCAGTGTTTAGTTGATCCTGATAAGCCCTCGTCGTCACAATTGTAAACACGACGGCTTTCTTCTTTCGTGAGGGGGTTTGGCGTCACGGCATCTTTGTTTCCAGGCGGAACATTATAGAATGCGTCACACACGTCTCCCGGAAATCCTGTATAATTCAACCAATCCGATGACGACTTCGAAACTCCTGAAGTGTTTCCAGTTTTGTGTGCCATATGCATCAGACGTTTAGCCAACCTTCCGTGGGCGTGACGTCTGAGGCTGAGACTACGTCGTCGTTAACAGTTCTGTCTAATACGGATAGAAGTCTGTCTAATAATCCGATAGAACTGTTAAACAAAGGAATTAAAATGTAAACTAAAAGTATTATAACGATTGCTTTTATATTATTAGTAATAGAAAGGCAAACATTATAATACTTTCTCATTTGCCTTCAACATTCAGCAAATACGCATTTACATCATATAAACAAATCTTTGAATGGCTAATGAAAATTTTATTTCACAAACCTTGCAGACTTAGTCGAATCCAGTTGTGAGATCTTGTGAAGTGTTTTATTTTACAAATGTATTTTTTAATCCATTTTCAAATGATTAAAAATTTCTTAAATATTAAATTAAGTACAATTATATCGGCTTTAAATACAATGGCCATCGGCCACCCTGCTTTTCAAGATATCAGCATCGGCATCGGCTGTCAAAAAAACAATATCGGTCTACACAAAACCAATAAAACCCATTACAAACGAGGCATTTGTTGCATCCAGTGGGGACATAATAACTAATACTTAACCACTGATTTCTAGTTGTGTCCTCTTTTGGAAGACCAAACAAAGTAGTTTCGCTTTCACAACGAAACACACAGCGTCTCCACGACAAGGCTGCAGCAGTAACAATACTACAGCGAGAATCAAAGTTACGCCTTCTTTTTTTGCATATACATTTGGGCGGTGTTATGCAAATCTTCCCACACAGTGACGTAGACATGTGGGGGCGTGTTTAAA